CCATTCATCCGAATTCAATCGTTTTATACAATAATCTAAACCTATAAAACAGAGAGAGTAATCATTCACGCGAGAACAATAAGACCAAAAACAAAAACAAAAACGGTTCACTATTCCATAATCCAATTTCTTAAAAAAGTCTTATGGTGTTACCGATATAACAATCACAACAAATATCGTTACAACAACCATTCTATAACATGATGATATAATTGATTTGAATTAAGTTGGAACCACCGATATCCAGTCAAAAATTCCTCATATTACTTAAAAAGAACCATTGAAAATTAACATATACAATGAATATCAATATCAAACAGTCTTTGTATTAGACTATATTTTAATCTCATTCAACAACTCATTGTGATGAATGAATTTTTAAATCCAGATTCATGTCTCCATTTTAATTACAATAATGAGATTATATATAATCTAATCGATATATTTTTTTCTTACATTTGGTTCTAGATTCTTTTCATTTCTCACAATCTTGTTAATCATTATTTTCTTCACATCTTTATATTATATAAGTTTTAAAATTGACAATAGACAAATCAAATCCACCAGATTTTCTGATATTTTTCTTGAACCGATTCTTGCACAGATCATTGAATAAAATATCATTAATTTTCCTTACATATCTCTAAATATAGCATGCTTCAAAGGTTCCTATATACAAACACTCTTTTCTCATGCCTTCAGAAATCCAATTCATCTTCTAAGTTTCCATGAAAAGTAACGAATATTTACAATATCGAGGATTTTAAGGGATATTTAAAATATATAAAATAGAACAATGTATGAACAACAAATCAGGGAAAACTACATGGTGAAATTAGGGATTTTAAAAATAATCATGAAATTAGAAAACGAAATGAAAGTTTATCTGAAAAAGATAAATAATTGATTAAAATCCTACCTGAATAGGTTGAAGAGATTGTAAGCCTGGAGGAAAAACCAAAGCCACTGCCTGAAACTGATGAACTGAAAGATAAGAAACTATAGAATTTCCACGAATGCAGGGATTTTTTTTATCTTCATTACCCTCCTTTCTTACGGAGAAGAGAATATTACCTGAGATAAAAAAAGTTTAGTTCCAGCGACAATCGTGGCTGATGGCGCGACACTTGGACCGACGACGTCAATCGTGGCAAGGCGGAATTGCTGAAATGGATACTGAAAGGGGAACCAGAACGCTTGGCTGAATGATGGTGAGAAAGAAATTAGGGCTCGGGCAAGAAATTTGATTTTTGGGTTTTTATAATACTTTACGGCGTTTGTAAACCAAACGCCGCTAATTGACAATTCTATTGAGGCATTTACCTAGCAACCGCCAATATTACCCTAGTCTATAGCGGCGTTTATATAAAAACTCCGCAAAATATTATATCTATTGCGGCGTTTGTATAAAACGCCACTAATGGAAATAAATATACAGGCGTTTGGTGTAAACGCAGCTATAGAGTTTAATATTTTGCGGCGTTTTTATTTAAACGCCACTAATATACAAATCTATAGCGGCGTTTGTTTTCAACAAATGCCACTATATATTATATCTATTGCGGTGTTTGTATGAAAACGCCACGAAAGTACTAATCTATATTGGCGTTTGTTGTAAACGCCACAATAGGTGAACCATATTGCGGCATTTTTGGAGACAAACACCACAAAAAGTCATATATAGCGGCGTTTTTTGGATACAAACGCCGCTAATTACCTTTATTTAGATAACATTCGTTGATTTTACATCAAGTAACCATGACTGATATATGTAGCTTTATCTAATTAACAACAACCATACATTTTAATTTAGACATAATTTATGCATCAAAATAGTCTACTAAAAGTTATGCATAAACAAATGCACCATATTGTTCACTAGAAATTAGTTGTGCTCCTTCGTGGGGAAATGACGTAGGAAAGTCGTTTTCCTTGTTTCACGACGCATCGTTAAGTTTTTCCTCCTTGTAAAGTCTATCTGGAGATACTTTTCATCCATTTCACCAAATAAATCCCCAACCTTCGGTTCACCAAGAAGACTCCTTGCGCGCTTCAGTGCTTCACTTGAAACAGATAACGACATTCCACCTACAATATCAAACTTGATTGGAAGTGGCTTGCGAACAGAATCAAACATTAAAATTTTTTTAAATAGATGATAGAAACGTTTACTTGGAGTAACAGTTGAGGCAACGTTGTCTTCATTGAGGATAGATGTTGCTTTTGCAATTGAAGATTCTTTTAATGCCACAGAGTTACCAAATTCGGTTCTAAGCATAAGGTATTTATCCACTCCTCTATCATCGTTCTCAATAAGCTTTGAACATCCTACATGCGTGCGAACTATGAAATTTTAGAGTACAAAATTAAAATGTAGCGGCATAAACTTTCACCGATTATTACCTTCAATTAGGAGATCGGCCATGGAAGGATTTGGAGCAATATGAGTTCCTTTCGGGTCATCATCGAGTTTCGACGGCAAGCTCGGACCCATAGACTCCCAACGATAATTTGATCCATCGTCAGAGCAAATACGCCAGGTGGACATTCCAATGATAATTTCCCTTACTCAAGGCAACACCTGTTGTTTGTACCAGAACCATTTTTTCAAGTTTTCAAAAGGTATTATTTTCCTATTCGAAAACTATTACTTTTCTATTCGAAAGCAGAAAAACATTGATCCCAAGCAGTAAACCAGTAAAACAATATGTATATATATTGTTTTCCTATTCGAACGCTATTATTGTTCTCAATTACGTTAGCTTTCTGGGTTTTACCCTTTTTCAGAATACGAACAAAAAGTAAATGAAAAAGTTAAGTAGTGAGAGAATAGATCAAACCGTGCAATCGTCAGATAACTGTTCGTCGGTGAGAGGGCCAATTTGGTCACGGGACATACAGAATACGACTTCGCTTGGAATCATGTGAGTGTCGTTGTTGTTCCACAGAAATCCCTTTTGAAGATAACAATGTTGAAATGATTTTAGGGATTGTGAAGGAGAAAAGGGTGGAGCATATATTTATCCTTTAGCGACGTTTTTACATAAAATTCCACTATAGTACATGTTTTTGCGGCGTTTTTAAAATAAACGCCACTATAGATTAGGTCTGCTGTAGCGTTTTCCCAAAACGACACTATAAACAACCATATTGTGGCATTTTTACTACAAACGCCGCTATATTAATACTCTATAGCGGCGTTTAATGAACAAACGCCACTATAAATAATCCTTCTGCGGCGTTTATTTGATAAACGCCTGTAATTTATCACTCTATAGCATCGTTTGTTTCACAAACGCCACTATAGACAATACTGTTGCGACGGTTTTTCATAAACGCTGCTAAAGTACTACTATTTTACGGCGTTTGTTGATAAAACGCCACTATAAATAACTATATTACGGCGTTTTTGCTATAAACGCCGTCAAATTACCATTCAACTGCGGCGTTTGTTGGAAAAACACCGCTAAAGTCTCAATTTGTGGCATTTGGATTGTAAACGCCGCTATATCCCTAAAATTTGTGGCGTTTGTTCTCCAAACGCCACTAAAAATGCCGCTACAGAAAACTTTTGCTGTAGTGGGAGAAACGGCAAGGAGGTATGGATGGAAAGGAATCTGCCATGAACTTTGACCGGGAATAACAATACCATATCTTATTGTTATTTCTTTCTTTCTGCCTTTTTCTTTTGTTTGTTTCTCGAGAAAATGACCTTGAATGCACTCGGAACACATAAAAAACCTTACTATATTATATTGTTTGTATCAGCCACCTCGTTCAATGGCGCTTTTGAAGATAATTTTGTAACATGAGTTGGCTGTAAATGATACTAGGTATATTTGTAGTTATTCGAATTTGATTTGATAAAATTCGATTAATATTTGTAGTAATTAGAGTATGATTTAATAAAAATCGATTAATATTTAGATTGAATAGATTCGGCTCAAATTCGAATTTGACTTGAATTTTTAACGAATTAAAACAAGTTACTTGATACCTAACTCAACAATCACGTGAGCAATTTGAAAAAAAAATATTAAAATTTTAATTCGTAAAATTAAATTATTAATAATATTAATATTTATATGTACTTGAAAGTTCAGGTTCGAATTTGAGTTCAAGCTTGAGCCAAGTTTGAGTTTGAACTTCATTGGAGTTAAGTCTAAGAATGTTTTAAGTTCAAGTTTTTTCAAACTCGATTCGAGCTTTAATTTTTTTATTTTGAGTAGAAATTGAAAATTTTAATCTGATAATCTTTTGAGTCGAATTGAATTCGACACAACTTGTTTACAACTCTAAATACGAGTTTAAATTTGTTATATATTTAAATGGCAATGAAATTTGGTAAAATAATTTATAATTTATTTTGTTTTTGAAAAATAGAAGTTTAAATTATTTAAAAAAAATCTAATGAGATAAGAGATATAAAATAATACTGTCATTAACTAATAAATTTAGATACAACTATTTTTATTTTTCTTATTTGAAATCATTTAATTTTTTTAAATATATATATATATATATATATATATATATATATATATATATATATATTAAACATATACATTTATTATATAAAATAATACATCATAATATTTTTAACTATTTCTGAATATATGAAATAAGATGTTACTCTATAGTAACTCTAAATATAACATTTTTAGAAAAATAATTATTTTATTTAGTATTAGTAATATGAGTTAGGATTTATTTATATTGTTTAAATTTCTTTTAAATTTATGTAGATTTAAGCAGAAAGATGAGTAAAAAAATAATAGCTGAGATTAACTATTTTCTGGATACATGGAATAAAGATGTTACTCTATAGTAATTCTAAATATAACATTTTAAAAAATAATTATTTTGTTTAGTATTAGTAATATATTAATTACGTAATTAATTAAAAAAGGGGCATTACCATATTTGTGGTATATATAAATAAAAATTCATTTTTTTTATAAGGTTCTAAGCAAAGATCAAACATCAAACCTTGGCTTCGTTTTTCTTTTACTTTCCAGTCATTTTCCTACCGATAAATCTTCATTTATCACTTAAAATTCATTCGATTGTTTAATTTCATGAGCTAAACTCAAAACGAAAGTATATTCAACACTAAATCATTGGAGAAGGCGAAGAAATTGAAAATGTATACACTGGAAGATAAAGTAGCTGACAGTCTTTCACGTTTGTTTTCAGATTCACCGAATCATTCTTCTCCATCTGATCCTTCTCAGGTAATTGCTTTTCCTTTCTCTTTTGGTATCTGTTGTTAGGAATTAGATATGGATTACTTATAGAAATGCAGCTACTCTTTTGTATATATTTATATTGATTTTTTTCCAGGAAAAAAAATGGGGTAGCTGAATTTTTTGTTTTTTCTTTGTTTTATGTATGATATTTGGAAAATAACTGAGATTTTCTGATTTGGGTTAATGCATAATATATATATTTCACTAAAGATAACCCACTTCATAGATTGGACTAAATTAATGTTTTTCATTCAAGTTTCAGTTGTGTAAGACTTAAACAATAAGTGGGTTTTTGATTGTTTGAGTAATTGAATATTCTTTTTCTTTTCTTCTTTGTTTTGATCATTTATGTTTCATATTATTTGCATGTGTTTGAAGTTTTAATTTATTTGTGAATTGTAGTTTTCAGTGATCTGATGATGTGAACTTTTTGAATATTTAGGCCAGATTTTATTCCGATGGATCAAGCTCTCGGTCTTTGATTTATTCTTACATCACCGCTGCCATAAGCTTAGGTGGGTCTAAATCGAATGATCATGGAAGTCATCTCGAGCAAATTCAGTCGCATCCTGTGAGATGGAAATGTAGGACATTTGAGTTTCAAGATGAATCCTTGGATAGCTATAAAGACCACAAACTTACTTTTACAAATGAAACCTTACCAAAGGCTCATGAAATTTCGAAACATAGCGACAACAAGTGGATTGTTAGTCCTCGAGGCAAGGATAAGGACTGTCTCTACGAAAGGTGTAGCAGTGATTCCGATGAATATCAAGATGCACAAGTTCAACGGTGTCCAGTGAAGACTCCATTGAACCTTTATGATGAATCAGTGTTTATTACACCTGATTTGTATGAATCCTTGGTGTTTTTACTTCCCAATATTGTTAAAGGGTGTCAATGGATGTTGTTGTATAGGTAAGTTTTGCAATAAGGTTTTAAGTTTGTTTGGCGAAAGCTTCATTCATATTTTTTATTTTGGATCTTGATTTGGTATTGACTCTTTGAAATGAGGAGCAGTACGTTGAAACATGGTATATCACTTCGCACACTTATTCGTAAGAGTGCTGAGCTCCCTGGCCCTTCTTTGCTGGTATGTTCATGGTTATATATAATAAATCTATTCTCTTGAGAGGCTTTCTATCTGAACCTCGAATTTTTTTTTAATGGTGTTGTACAAATTCTAGATTACTGGAGATCTGAAAGGAGCAGTCTTCGGTGCAATGCTAGAATGCCCCTTGAAGCCTACCCCAAAGAGAAAATATCAAGTATGATAACATGCCTCATTAACTTATGAATATGGTTTTGAGCATGATGCCCCTTGTTTTTTAGCTTTATTTCTCTTGTTCTATGATAGGGAACACATCAGACATTTGTATTCACAACCATATATGGTGAACCTATTCTATTTAGACCAACTGGTAAGCAATTTTGTCAAATGTCAAATAAAGATTGACATTTTTGAACAAATTCTTTTTTTATTTCCTGAAATTATTGTGACCTTGATGGATGGCATAAGCAATCTATGTTTCTTGGACTTGGGTGTGTCAGGTACGGGTATGTGTCTGGTGCATGTATGTTCAGTTTTTTTTTTTTTAGTTTTTCCATGGAGGGTCCATTGAGGGTCATATCTCCATGCTCGAGTCCATATATGCATTGGAAACAGGTACTCGAGGAAAAATGAAGAGTTTGTATCAGCATAATAAGCAATTAATAGTTGTGTTTTAGGGATTAATTTACTCGCTTTTCACTGACCTTTACCGATGATGAATGTATTTATGTGCTATTATAGGCTTTGATCTTGTGTCGCACCAATCTAAACAGGTGCGAATCGTTATTACTATATATGTTTGAATGACTTGTTAGCACTTGGAGGCGGCAGCAACTTTGCTCTGTGCTTGGATGCAGATCTGTAAGTTGTAATTGTGGTATTTTCTCTTTTACAATTCTTCCAACTAATACTTTTATTAAAAATATTGTCCATTTTCATGGTTTGTGATTTTCTTAGTTTGAGTGGAAGTAGCGGACCTTGTGAAACATTCGGGAACTTGTGTTTGGCTCATGACTGGGACTTTGAGCTAAACAACGTTGAGGTAATTTTTTATCGGTTCCTTAACGTCGAGTTCAAAATAAGAACTTTCGTGATCATCTGATAGGCTGCTGATGAATCTCAAACATGGTAAAAGACCAGTGCATTTTCAACTTGATAGCTAAAAATTGAAAGGAAACTTTCCCGTAGCATATCAACAAGCCCCGAAATGCCACCTACAAGTAATTGGTATGCGAGAACTCGGCATGCTCGTTCTCTTTGTTCTGTATAACTTGCTAAGTAGGAATATAGCCTCTCACCTCCCCTGCAGCGGCCCTTCGCTGCTGCAACAGTAGGTGATGAGTACTGGGATGTTTGCACTGAGAGAGAGTTGTTTTACTTTTGATCCATCAGGACCGAGTATGAACGGACTTTGGTCCATATCCTGTTAACTATTGAACAATCTTTGAGAAAATTGAACCCGGAGTTTAGCTCAGTTCATGTAATCTTCCTTAAGAGGTGACTGCTGGAATTCGAGTTCCATCATGTTTCCTTGAGGTCTCGGGTTTGTCTCCCTTTAATAACACATTGGCCTGATTTTGAGTTTGATTTTTTAACTGTGCAGCTATGGGGTTTCAAACATGCATCACCATATACGTCAATTGAAAGCAACTGCAAGAGGTCTTTAGATACTAATACCTCATTTGCATGGTTCTAAGGTGTTTTCAAAGATCGACTTGAAAAACGGATACCACCAGATCAGGTTGAGAGGTGGAGAAGAATGAAGACGACACTCAAATCTCCTGATGGTCTTTATGAGTGGTTAGCAATGCCGTTCGACCTTTCAAATGCATCGAACAAGACTTTGCTACACTCGTAATGTGCTGGAATGAAAAAAAATGTAATATTTCATATATATATAACAAGAAAACTTATGGTACAAAAAGTGACAATACCAATTATAGTTCAATATATTTTCATTGAGATTCTGAATTTCAAGACTTAATATTGATTAATCTGAACTTCACACACATCTGATACTACTTCGTCCATTGTCCATAAATCTCTTGCTTCTAAGTTTTACCCATCTTTGAAAAAGATGACGGAAATGACGGTACCCACTTGGCACTACTTTGACCATTGCCCACAAATCTTCCATTATTCACTCTTCTTTCTCTCTCCTTCACATGTCTGGAAAAAATATCAACTTTTTTCTTTTTCAATAAAGAAAATCAATATTAAAACATTAAGAAAACATGTTAAGAGAATTTAAAGAAAACCCATTTGAGATAATTTGGTTAAATTGTGTAAAATTATTTAAAATATTATATATTATTATATTTGTACTCATATTTTATAAAATCATCTATCAAACATTATTAGTTGAAGATGGTACAATAGTTATTCTCTTACTAATAAATATTTATATTCATTTTAGATGTATCAAGTTTTGGTTATGAAAAAATTAATGTTTTATTTTCATGTTAATATTAATTGTATTTATCTTTTATTGTTGATAATAATCAGTGGCCAAAGATAATGGATGGAGACTAATGGGCTATGGCTCCTCAAAATTTTGAAAAATTATAGTTTAGACTTTTAAAATTTTTAAAATATTTACTTTGGTTTCCATAAAATTTTTAAAAATTCATGTTATTTTTTAATTTTTTTAAATATTCTTAATTAAATCCCTCCATGATTTTTTTAAAATTCTCACTAAGCCTCTCAAAATTTCAAAATTTTTAGTTATACCCCAATTTTTCTTTGGAAAAAAATGTAAACTGAATCCTTCAAAATTTTTGAAAATTTTAATTTAATCATCTAAATTTTTAAAGCTTTAAGTTGCCCCAAACTCTATCACTAAGTTCTACCGCCGATAATAATACTCATAGTGTATTTTTTTCAATTCTTTTATATTTGACCAATTAATATGATTAATTTAATTTAAATTTTATATAATTTATTTTTGAGTTGATAATTTTTATTATATTTATTATTTATTAAATCCATAGATATACTTCCTATTTAGCAAGTCTACTCACTGTGTTTCCAGCTCATTCTCTGTTCTTTTCTTAATGCATTTTTTAATGGTTTCTTTATCAAGATTTTCCCTTTCCTTATCATTTCTAATTATTATCTTCAAACTTGACTAAAATAAAATAAAAAATATAAAAACAAAGTAAATTTCATTCAAGGTCACTTAACTATGAGTTTAGTAATAAATATATCATTTTTCTTTTAAAACTTATAAACAAGTCATTCAATTAAAATATTGTTCCAAGCATATTTCTCGATTATTAAAATTGAAATGAACATCAAATATGGTATGATATAATAACAATTTTAATCATCAAAATTTATATTTTCTATCAATATTTTTTATAATTTGAATTAATTCTTCAAATACAACTTCATCGGATCAAAGTAGTGGTTTAATAACTACACTTTACCATAAAACAATACTACTAAACTGTTATTGTACCATAAAAATGTGGAAAATGTATAGTATTTTAAGAGAAGAATAAAGATTAAAATACTTAAAATTTGAATTATGAAATGTTAAATTTATTGAATTATTTTGAATCGGGATCCCGTAAATGGACTATAGAAGTTTCAAAGGCTAAAACTGTTATTATACCATATTACATTAGTGTTCTCGTTTAATATCTAACGGCCAATGATATGTTTATAATAATATTTTAAATGTGTGGCCTATTTATAACTTTTAGAATAAAATTGACTCTTTCATTACTAAACATAATTAAGTGACCTTAGGTGTAGTTTACCCCAAAAATAAAGGATAAATTACACGTTTAATACCTAAACTATCAATTTTAATCCATTTTAGTACCTAAACTTTTAGTTTTTTCAAAATCATACCTAACATTTACTTTTTATTTTATTTTAGTACTCGTCGTTAAAAACTTAATAAATGGATTGATGAGGCATAGCTCCGATGGACAAACGACTAATCTGAACGGTGGACCATAGTAGAATGATGAGTTGACCAACATAGTCTAGTTTCAAGGTCCATCGGACAATTGACGATGAAGATCGAAGGATGAAGAAGTCGAAGAGTCCGTTATTGATTTAGGGAGATTGAGGTATTTTCCAATGAAATAGAGACCATAATCACGTTCAGATGGTCGAAAAGGTGCGGGCTTAAAAGTTTGGGCTTCATCGACCGATGAATGCGATAGTCAACAACTGTAAACGCTGCAGCTGGCGAGCCCATCCTTAAGTTTTTAACTGAGGGTATTAAAATGAAACAAAAACTAAACATTATGTATGATTATGAAAAAAAAATTAAAAGTTTAAGTATTAAAACGGATCAAAATTAATAGTTTATGTACTAAACTGACAATTTACCCAAAAATAAAATAAATCAAAGCGGGGGTCCTCCTGGAAAGTTGAAAACCATGGAGGAAACATGAACATGGAAACAAAAAATTCCACAACTAAACGTGCCTTACAACACCGTTTCTTCCTCCTTCACGCCTCCCACTACCTCCTCTGCTTAAGTAACATCGCCGTCGGAACCCGCATTCTTTATATTCATGTCGTGTTCATATTATTAATTTCAGTATTTATAATAATATCATAACGCTTATACAGCAAAGCAAAACAAAACAGTGTTTTTTGGAACCTAGCACAACACACTTCTTTCTGACAAAAAAAAAACTTGTCTCTGTTCATTCTTTCATTATATTGGTTGAATACTCGTTCCTTCACTCGGATTAAACTCAGGGTTAACAGGTGATTAGAGTGCTTTTGCCCTTTTCTCTTGAGGTAAGAGGAAAAAAAGTGAATCTTTTTACATATTTTATTCATAAAAGTTTGCAACTTTCCTCTTTATTTTTTTTATTTTTTGTCAGTTTTCTCCTGTTCTTCAACTTTGTGTTCTGGACTGAAATTTTCTGGGTTCAGTGTTTGATTTTCTTTGATTCAAAGTGTTTTTATGTTTAGCTGAGTTGCTGGTTGGACTGGTTTGTTTACACTAAGTTGATATGCTCCAAAATTCTGTGCAAATCAAACTAATCCAGTCCATAAGAATTCTTCTCATCAATCTGGTTTGGGGTTCATCTCCTTGCTGCTTTGAGGGTAAGGTTTTCTCATGGCTTGAATTTCCAGCCAACTTTCTGGTGTCTTTAAACTAATGAGATGTGATTTTCAATTTGATTTCTTTGTATATGTTCCTACAGTGAGATTCATGAACATGAGAATTAAAGACGAAGCCTTTTGATTCTGGTTATGTATGTTGATTATTGTTCTGTATGTGTTCGATTTGAGTATGCTTAAATTTTCGTTTATATTCGAATAATTAGAGTGTGTGGAGTGTTGATAGTTTAGGAATAATGAAGAGTCAGAGTACCGTAGATGATTTCGGAGCAAAAATGTTTTGTATGTCACTGATTTTGATTGCTAACTAACTTACCTTTGATTGGCATTTGCTTGGAAAGTAGGATATTTGTTAGTGTAGCTCTTGTTCATAATTTCATACAGTTTATATACATATATATATATATATATATACAATTCGTGTTCGACATGGTATGTTTCAGTTTGTAGGATATTTGTTAGTGTAGTTCTTGTTCATAATTTCATACGGTTTATATACATATATGTACATATACAATTCGTGTTCGACATGGTATGTTTCGGTTTGTAGGTTATTTGTTAGTGTAGTTCTCGTTCATAATTGCATACAGTTTATATACATATATTTACATATATATAAAATTCGTGTTCGACATGGTATGTTTCGGTTTGTAGGTTTTTTGTTAGTGTAGTTCTTTTTCATAATTTCATACAGTTTATATACATATATGTACATATATATACAATTCGTGTTCGACATGGTATGTTGTGGTTAGTAGGATATTTGTTCTTGTACTTCTAGATGCAGTAAGAATTGGTAATTCATGAGTCATGGCTTTGTTTCCATTTGTACTTTCTTCTTGTTTTCGGTTCTGTATCAATGTGATCATTCGTATTTTTCTTCAGATTTCTTGTGAGTTACGAATCCGAATAGTTGGAGCCTTATATAGCACGGAATCATCCACATCGAGTCAGAAAATGGTGATCAGTCATGTCTGTTGCTAGGCACCGTATCTAATTGGAGAATGAAGATGGAGAAAGCCTTTGTTACCGGCCGGAAAGATAATGGGGAGAATGGGGATTCGTCTCTACACAGGGATATCTTGGGAGATAATGGAATGGACTATTCCGAATTGAAGTTGAAGAAGCTGGTGAGAAAGGTAAATCCATGGCATGCTTTGATCTTGAGTGTTAAAAGATTACAAGATGGAAAAAGTCTTATAAAGGAGTCATTCCAACGGAGTATTTCCGGCATAAGTAGTAAGATTCCAAGGCATGTCGTCACTCTAGACGAGAAATATCTTCGCTGTTGCCTGGATTTGATTCATATCAATGCTGCGAAAGCAGCTCATTGCAACATCTCTGTGAACTTGAGCTCTCTAAACACAGGTATTTTAGCCGATGGACTGGATTCAACTAAAATCCCGGATGAAGGTGCCTGCGATTTTGGTAGATTTGTTTTCGACTGTCCACTCGAGGTTGAGACCGGTAGTGTCGTCATTGGTCCGGTGGATCCGTGGGTAGTAGGTTCTATAATGGGCAGCAAGAGTATGGCAAATATATTGCAGAGCCCATTGTTAAAGAAATTTGGTGTATTGGATGTTGATCCGAGTTTGAATGATGTTAAGGGATCGACGATAAGTTACGATTTCACAAGCTCTCCTGGTGGTTTCATGAATTATTCCTCGAATAAGCTCGGAAGTGAAGCACGGGTATCAAATACTTGTAAATATGGATCTGAAACTGTGCAGAAAAGGCTTGTTTCGTTGTCAAGTTCGAACTCGACATGCTCTGATCAGTCCTTTTCTTGTACTTCTTCAAAAGTTTTGCAGGGAATGCTTCACTGCACATGGAAGGGTGGGATTCCGTATTTTGTTTTCTCCCTGGATAATCAGAGAGAGGTATATGTAGCCAATTTGTTGAAGGAAGGGTCAGCTCGGAATAAAGGTCTGGGCTATACGTACTTGTTCCGTTCCAGCAAGGGTAGTCGTATGGAAGATGGGATTACTGAGAACGAGCTACATCTTGTTGGCAAGATGAAGGTATCTACTTCGTTCTCCATCGTCCCCCGAGATTCTAACATCATGGAGACAGAGTTTGTTTTGTTCGGTGGCAACGGAACTTTTAGTCCGGATCTGCAAACTTTGAGCCATAACCACAGGAAGAATAAGGGTCTAACGAGTAAGGTGTCGCAAGTATTCAAGAGTGGTCCTTTGTCCAAGCAGAGAACAATGTCTAGATTTCGACGATCAGTCTCCTTGATCGAAGGCTCTTCTTTCGATCCATGCCATGATACGATCAACAATTCTGATGCACTAGATGGCACAGATCTTTTAGAGGAACAACTTCCTTCGAATTCTGAATTGATTGCTATCGTCTCAAGGGACCATTTCCCCAAAAATACTCATTCAGAAGTCGGAGGTTGGGGCTTAAACTTTCTTGGGAAAACAGGGGTTAAGCAAAAGGTTGACCCTTCAGAAACCCCGGTTCGTTCTGCTTGTTCTCGCGATACTGGTGATTGCTCAAGAAGTATGAACATTCTAGTTCCAGCAGGTATTCATGGTGGTCCAAGAACCCGAAACGGCGGCCCCTCAAGCCTTATTGAAAGATGGAGGTCCGGTGGACATTGCGACTGTGGTGGCTGGGACTTGGGATGTCCGCTGACTGTACTTAAAGCCAGATCAAGTAAAGGAGGAGGCTCGTCTCCAAGTGAAGCATCCGTGGCCTGCAAGTTATTTGATTTTTTCATTCAGGTACACACAGGTGTCCCTGTTTTCCCTTAGATTATGGTATTTTAAACACAAAAACTATAATATCATAATCACTGTGATGACTGTCTCCAGAATTCCATGTTTCAGGGTTCCGAACACGGTTCGCCGACATTGACCATATCAAATGTTCATGATGGGCTGTATTTCATTCATTTTCAACCCACACTCTCAGCTCTACAGTCCTTCTCGGCTGCAGTGGCATACATCCATACCCAAAGCCCCACTCTCCGACCGAAAAATGTACAGCAGTCGAGGTAGCACAATCTAGAATTGAAGTTCGTGTAGTCGTAACCGAGCCCTTACTGAATCACAGCCGTGTGCAGATCGTAATTTAGGTGTTCTATACTAGAACTCGAGATTGTTAAGTTTTCATGTTTTGTTGCAGCTAGTTTGACTGTTCTTTAAGATTGTTATGTTTTCTAGGCTTTGATTTACCCTTGATTCCTCCTCATGAACAAAAATATAATGTATTTTGCACATTTTGATCGAATGTATAACTTTTAGATAGAGTGTATTGTATATTTGTATACCGTATACATTCTTCGTATGTTCGTATTAATCTGTAGATTTTTTCATGATATATCGAGTTTTAGTTAATCCGTTGAATCACGTCTGTCTGAGGAATCGGGGGACACCTTAACCACTTGCCATTGGCTTGCATTGGAGACATGGTGATGGCTACTGTTAAGAAAGGGAAGCCTGATCTGAGGAAGAAGGTCTTGCCCGCCGTCATCGTGAGGCAGCACAAGCCCTGGTGCCGAAAGGATGGTCTTTACATGTACTTTGAAGGTAGATTGTTTTATCCTTTCTAGATGTGCGAATTATCATTGTTTTGTGGTCATGGGAGCGTGAATTGAAGTTACAGACCTATCGATTTATGTCATTCGGTCTCGGTTTCAGTATCGGTCATAAGCGTCTGAAATACGAATGTTCATAGTTAGTTTAGGACTTAGTACTAGTAAAATTTGTATGGTATGGTGGTGTTTAGACTGTTTGCTGAAGACGGCTTCATTGTTAAAGGGTGTCGAGATGTATATGCTACTCTCATTTGATGCTTCCTGGCCCGCAAGCAGCATAACTACCGATTTATGTTGCTCGGGCTCGGTCGTGAGCGTCTGAAATACGAATGTTCATTGTTGCAGATGCGTTGAGCCGTTGACGCTTGCATCTGCTCCATTCGACGCAGCTACTAGTTTTGAAAACCAATCACCTCCCTTATTGTAGATGCATTATGTTCTTGGAGCATTCATCTGCTCCATTTGGGCCCTGCATTTGCTATCAAGTATATGTTCAATAGATGCAGCTGTCCGCCGTTCTAAGTTTGTGTTTCGATTGCATATAATGCCGGCGTGGTTGTCAATCCGAAGGGAGAATTTGAAGGCTCCGCCATGACTGGTCCGATCCGAAGGAGTGCGCCAATCTATGGCCAAGGATTGCAAGTGCAGCCAATGCCATTGTTTAGAGATTTTTTCCTCTGAATCATAGTTTCAAATCTTGTTGAATTAGAACAATTTGTTACCTTCATGGACGGGGGCGGAACACAAGCTGAACTTGAGGGGGTCATGGCCCCAAAATTTAAATTTTTTTAATTTTGATCCTTAAAATTAAAAAAATCAATTTTCCCCTTTAAAATTTTTAAAAATTCTAATTAAATTCTAATTTTTTAATGTTCTCAATTAAACCCTCTCATATAATTTTTAAAAATTCTTATTAAGCCTCTCAAAATTTTAAAAATTATAGTTAATCCTTAATTTTTTTTTTGGAAAAAAATATAAACTAAATCCTTCAAAAATTTTAAAAATCTTAATTTAAACCTCAATTTTTTAAAAAATTTTAAGTTAAGCCACCCAAACTCTATCACCAAATTTCGCCATTATAATCAAGGATGAAGTTGTTCCATTGTCTGAAAACTATACTATAATACAAACTAAGACTGAAGGATGTTCTTGACATAAAACTACATGAAGTTGGAACATTCGTGATATTAATCAAAAGACAAAAATACCCGTGTAGGGTCATAAAATCATGCAAGGAATCCAAGCCTCTCTCCATTCTTCTTTGCCAGTCGAATCAGGCCTTGCCTTTGTTTACCATCAGCCCCTATTGCTTTGCAGAATTCATTAATTACCTGAAAATCATTTCAATCTTTCAAAATCTCTCATTATAGTTTCAATCCTTAATATCATGTTCAGATTTATTTTTGGAAAATAAAAAATTTGATAACTGAATTATATTTTATCTCCTGATTCATTCATTGTACTTTAAATTTATTTAATTTCCTCACTGAACTTAATACATTAGATTTTTTTGTCACTCAACCGTTTTCTCACTAACAAAGTTATAAATGAATTGTTATATATATGCAAAACGAAGACGTTTTGGTGAATTTTTTTTTAAAATGGTTTCATTTTAACGCCGTTAACTATTATTTAATAGCGGAGTGAACAAAAATCCTAATATATTAAGTCCAGTGAGAAAATTGAAAACCTTTAAAGTTCAGTAAGTAAAAAAGAGAGAGAAAGTAAAGTTCAATGACGGAATTTATAATTTACCCTTTATTTTTTCTACTTTACTTTGGTAAAATTTAATTATTATTTGATAATTTTTAAAATTTAAATAATCAAAATCAGTATTTAAAATAATTTTTAAAATTTAAATAATCAAAATCAGTATTTAAAATAATTTTATAACATGTAAATATGAATTTATTATTAATCAAATAATTAGATTTTCATGTTACTCTCAATATATGAACGACATGTTGAAGAAGTTGATGTAATACTTAATTAGGGGTGTTCATTTTTCGATTTTAACCGAATTAACTTATCGAACAGAATTAACTTGGTTAATTCGGTCGGCCACCAAATTAGTTCGATTGAAGAACAATTAACAATTTTTTCAATATTCGATTGACGCTTAATTCGGTTCGAAATCGATTAATTAACCGAAATTATTAAATATAAAATATATTAAATACATATTTTAAACTCCTACTCATTAAGAAATCAAACTTAATTATTTTTTTAACCACACTAAACTTATTAAATTATCAATATATAATTAAAATTTTAACCCAAATAAAAAAAACTTCTATTATATTCTAATTAATCTAATTGAAAAAATTATAGAAAAAATTATAAAAAAAATTGGTTAACCGACCGAAATAAACAAACTTTGTTCGGATCGGTTAATATTTTCAAAAAAATGTTCAGTTCGGTTAACGGTTAAAAAAAATTCGGTTAATTCGATTAATAAAAATTTGGTTCGGTCGGTGGCCGAATTAACCGTTTGAACACCACTACATTTAACGGGATTATCAGTTTGGACTTATAAATAAAATTAGGTAAATTATGTGTTTAGTGCCTAAACTATCAATTTTGAATTATTTTAGTAACTAAATATTCAATTTTTCTAAAATCATACCTAATGTTTAATTTTTGTTTCATTTTAGTACCTTGTTCAAAACTTAATGTTAAGTTTTGAAAAAAATTGAATGCATTATATTTTTAACGGCGCAGTACTAAAATTAAACAAAAACAAAGCGTTAGATATGATTTTGAAAAAATTAAAAGTTTAGATACTAAAATAAATAAAAACTGATAGTTTAGGTACTAAACGCATAATGTACCCAATTTTATTTATAAGTCTAAACTATAATCCTATTAAATGTTACATCAACTTTTTCACTTGTCGTTCATATATTGAGACTAACATGAAAATCTAATTATGTTTGATTAATAAAAAATTTATATTTACATGTTATAAAATTATGTTTAAATAATCATTTTGATGATTGAATTTTTAAAAGCTATAAAATAATAATTAATTTATTAACTTTTTAAGTTTATTATAATATTATAATGACTATTTTATAATAGTATGTAAATTTTATTGGGTAAACTACGTGTTTAGTATCTAAACTAACAGTTTTGATCCGTTTTAATACTTAAACTTTTAATTTTTTCAAAATCATACCTACCATTTAGTTTTTGTTTCATTTTAGTACCTGGTTGAAAACTTAATGTTAAGTTTTTAACCAAATTGAACGCGTTAAATTTTTAACGGCGCAATACTAAAATAGAATAAAAACAAAATGTTATGTATGATTTTGAAAAAATTAAAAGTTTAGGTACTAAAATAGATTAAAACTAATAATATAGATACTACACACATAATTTACTCAATTTTATTTATAAGTCTAAACTAATAATTCCGTTAAATGTTACATCAACTTCTTTCACCTCTCGTTCATATACCGAGACTAACATAAAAATTAAATTATGTTTGATTAATAATAAATTTATATTTACATGATATAAAATTATGCTTAAATAATCATTTTCATTGTTGAATTTTTAAATATTATAAAATAATAATCAAATTTATTAACTTTTTAAGTTTATTATAATATTATAATAATTATTTTATAATAGTAACTAAATTTTATTGGGCAAACTACATGTTTAGTATATAAACTATCAGTTTTGGTCTATTTTAATACTTAAACTTTCAATTTTTTTCAAAACCATACCTAATGTTTAGTTTGTTTTCATTTTAGTATCCCGTTAAAAACTTAACATTAAGTTTTGAAGAAAAAAATTGAATAAGTTAAATTTTTAACAGTGCGATACTAAAATGAAACAAAAATAAGTATTTGGTATGATTTTGAAAAAATTAAAGTTTAGATACTAAAATGAATCAAAATTAATAATTTAAATATTAAACGCATAATTTACCCATTTATAAGTCCAACCTGATAATCCCGTTAAATGTTATATCAACTTATTTCAACTGTGGTACATATACTAAGAATAACATGAAAATATAATTATGTTTGACTAATAATAAATTTATATTTATATGTAATAAAATTATGATTAAATAATTATTTTAATTATTGAATTATTAAAAATTTAATAAATTTTTTATGTAATTTATCCAATTACATTTAGTCGAGTGGATAAGATTGTTTTTAAAAGAAATTAAGTAAAAGTATATTAAAATCTTCTAAATTATGTTCAAACGATTATACTCATTTATTAATGAACATTTAAAAGTTACAAAATAAATGATTAAATTATCTCATATAGTTATAAAATAGTTATTTAATTTTATTAAATTTCATTGAACTTTTATTTAATAATAAACTTTATAGTAATTGTTTTGTAGTAATTTTAATGATTTTTAAAAGTTTCGGCATAAAAATAATATATTCTATCCAAAAATTTTATCAAAAAGTTCCATGTAACTGAGTATGTTACTAGGGGAGGAACCCAAAATTTAAAAAATTGTAATTTTAACCTTTGAAATTTAAAAAAATTTAATTTGACCCTCAAAATTTTTAGAAATTCAAATTAAATCTTAATTTTTTTAATATTCTTAATAAATTCTCTTCCATAATTTTAAAAATTCTCATTAAATTTATCAAAATTTTAAAAACTGTAGTTAAACTCTAATTTTTTTTGGAAAACATATAAATTAAACCTTCAAAATTTTTAAAATCTTAATTTAAATATCTAATTTTTTTTAAAATTTTAAGTTTACATCCAAACTATTTCACCAGTTTCGTCATTACTATTAATAACAGGGACGGAACTGTAGATGGTACCTGAGAATGCAAGGCAATGGCTTTTCCTCTAAGCTGATTGAACCTCTTCTTGCCAACAATCTGGCGGGTAACCACCGCGAGCGGTGCGAACAACCCTTTCCCTTCGTTAACGTTCTTCATCACCGGCTGGGTTCTAACCGCCTTTCCGACGCGAACAAAGTTCGGAACCGATTTAGCCAACATGCCATAGTCTTCACCTCCACTAAACGATTTTCCCAAACCTCCCTTAAACCCGACTACGGAAACCGAAGAAACCGCCATCGAAGACATAGTCGAAGATCTCATCTAGCTCTGATGTGAAACACTGGTTTTCTTCTTTTCTTTGTTGTTCACTGGCTTGATATTGGTATTTTCTTGTTTATGTGAAATGATTGATATTTGTTTTAGGGTTTGGTGGTGTGTGGAGGAAAGAGAGCCATTGAAGCATTTTGTGGTGGCTACATATATACGGGTGGCTTACTGGCCATGGAAGGCGAGAATGACGTATGTGTGTTTGGTTACTGTTTTGCGATTTACCGTCCACCATTTTCCAGGAAAATCTGGATCTGGAAATCTAGTGGTTCTTCTTTCGATGGTATGATGGCATCCATTGGATTGTTCATACGACGATCGTCACCGTCAAATTTAGATTCCACTCCAAAATTTTGATTTCAATATATCAATTTTAAAATTTATTTTTAGGTTAAAGTACACATATGGTCCCCTGACTATAGGAAGTTATTTTATTGAGTCATTCAACTATTAAAAGTTATGAAATGATCTATTGATTATAGGGCATTGCTTTGTTGAGTCTCTCGACTATTAAAAGTTACAAAATGATCATCTAACTATTTATATGTTCCAAATTTGTCTTTATTTGTTAAAAAAATTGAAGACAATCTAAGTTGGATGTTAATCTGTTGACTGAGATATGATAGTCGTTTGAGATTTTATGATCAAATTTTATCATATCACAACCAGCAAGTTAATGCCTAGCTTAGAATGTCATCAATTTTTTAACAAAAAAGGACAAGTTTTGAAACATATGAATAGTCAGGTGACCATTTTGTAACTTCTAATAGTCAAGTGATTAAACAAAGCAATATCCTATAGTCAAAAGACTATTTTATAACTTTTAACAGTCGGAAGATTCATCAAAGCAACACCCAATAGTCAAGGGATCATTTGCGTACATTACCCTTATTTTAGGGTAAAATAAACTTTGGGTCATTCTATTATTAATTCGGCTACAAAAGAATCAATTTTTAAAAATAAATTATAATTTAATTTAAATATTATTGTAAATATGTAATTGGTTGTTAAACTAATAATGATAACTTGATAATTGATATAATAATAGTTTTAGTTATCAAAACTTATACATTCTATCATTTTAATTTTAATTCAAAATAATTCAATAGATTTAACCCATTCATAGATTTTTTTTTCTTCCTAAATTGCTTGTCATCTCTAATAAATTATTATTTGGTGGTAAGATACAATTATCCAACTTTTATTTTGATATGATGGATTTACTTGATTTGACAATATTACAAGTTTATAGTTGGTGCTGAAGAACCCTATTAACTATACTGATGTAATTTTTAAATACTAAAGCTTAAACTTATTGAATTAGGACTAACTTGATTGAATGTATGAGTTTTGAAACCTAAAAATATTATTATATAATGTTATAATATTGTTCTATCTAATATTGAACTACTAGTAATATGTTTATAATAATATTTTAATTGAATGATTATATTATTTTCTAAAAAAAATTTGGCCAATTTATAATCAAACTGATAATTGATAATCGAGTACCCTGACGTGCATTTTCCATAGGGATGGGTATGGGTCGGGTATTCGATCAACCCGACTTGATCTGAAAATTATACACCATCCACTTGATCCAAATCCGACTCGAAAAATATACATCCTTCATCCTACCCGAATCTAACTTTTCTTTTTTGAGAAAAAAATCCGAACTGACCCGACACGAAATAATATATTTATAAAAATATTACTTTTATTTAATTAAAAATATGGATTTAATTAGAAAAAATAATATATAGAGATGTATTATTGTAGTTATCCCTAAATATAAGATTAAATTACTTTTTTTCGGGTCGGGTCGAATATTTTTTATAAACCCGAACCAGACCAGATTTGAAAATAACCTCTAAAAAACCAAAACCGACCCGACTAATACCCAAATTTAAAAAAAAATCTATCCTATAAAATTGAGTCAAATCAAAACCCGTCAAATTCAAATATTATGCCCATCCCTAATTTTACCCTTAATCTTTTAACATAACTATTAGATTTATGAACATCAATTTGGTTATTATTACAATAAAAAGGAGTAATTGAGATATGTAAATACAAAGGATAATTAATTAGTTTTTTTTAGTTTAGTGTAGTCCATTGAAGTAGGGGTGTAAAAAGTTGGCCCAAGTTGTAAAATTGACTGAAACCGACTCGAGTTAAAACTAATTTTGACTTACGTTGTGACGATCTGAAACTAACTCGAGTCAGAACTAGTGTTGACCTGAACCCGAGTTGGACCTAGAAATTGTGGATTTGAACCCGACCTGAGAACGACCTGAACCCAAATTGAATCAAAAATATGATACTCGAACCCGAATTGCATCCGACTGATATGAACTCGAACCTGAACCCGAGATTGACCTGGTAAATAACTAGTATTATTCGATCTATTTTCAACCTGACTTGTTATGAACCTGACATGTAATTGACTCAACTTGTAAATGATCCGACTTGTTGAACTGATATGATATTTACCTAACTTTATATTTACCTGACTTATAAGAAATAAGTTACAATTAATATAATTATGTTATTTTAAATTTATAATAAACTTATGATAATTAAATTAATATGATTACTTTTTGAAATTTAGTTTTTATATTAATTATAATTTGTATATTATAAATTTGGCTTTTATATTAATTCCAATTCTTTATATTCTTTATAATTCTTATATTATAAATATTTTTATAATCATTAAATTAAATTTAGTTATTTTCTTATTGAACATGATTTTATTAGGTTATATAAATTGGATTAAAATATTCATAACTCTAATTTATTTTTAATGTGAAAATTGATTAATAATTTAACTTAAAATTTTAAAATAAATATATATAAGATGAAATGATGAACTTATTAAAGATTTTAAACTTGAATAACATAACAAATACTAAAACAAAAAATTTATAAATGAATAAATAAATTCTATCACCCTTTAATACACTAAAATTACAATAAAATCAACTAAACAAAATAAATTTATGTTAAAATAAATGCTCTCGGATCTTATAACTAAGGTTTTACAAGGATAAAAGCCTAACTTTACTACCAGAAATTTCATCATCAAGCCTTTATACCTAAATGTTGCCAACATGTTTAATTATGGGCAACTTCTAGCTTTAAAACCCAAAATGCCACCAACATAATTTAACATGAGTAACTATTTAGATAAGAATTTACAAGGTACAAAATTGATTTAAGTCAGACCAACAACAATAATTTACAAGGCATCAGTGAGCAACAATATAACACCAATATCCTGTATACCTTTCCGTATACGAAATACATATGTCACATCACCTTTTAAAGTATTTTTTTTTCAAAACTTGTAAAAATTTTGTTTTTAGATTTCTTAAAATATAACATTTAAATATAAAGCAAAACATTAATTGTAATCTAATACGAAGTTCTACTTAATTACAATTTAAAGCATTTTTCGTACTTTAATACCCTCTTTCTCCTATCTTATTTGTTCTTGCTATGAATGTGCTCTCTAAAATTCTCAACATGGCTACAGTGAAAGGCTTGTTCGGATACCACCCTAAATGTAAGAAGATCGACCTCACTCACATTTCTTTTACAGATGACGTTCTAATCTTCTGTAAAGGAAATATTGAATCTGTTGTTGGAGTCATTAGTGTACTGGACCATTTCTATGAAATGTCAGGTCTAAAACTTAATGCTGCCAAATGTGAAATATATACAACAGGAATCACTTCCAGAAATCTAGAGCATTTATTACAATCAACGGGATTCAAACATGATTACTTGTCAGTGAGATACTTAGGGGTTCCTTTAACCACAAGGAAACTCAAAGAAAAGGACCGTGTGGTTCTCATTGAAAAGATCAAATCAAAGCTTCATCATTGGTCGGGAAAGTTCTTGAGCTATGCAGGAAGATTAGAACTCATCAGAGCTGTCATCTTCAGTATATCAAACTACTAGTGCAGGCAATTAATTCTACCTCAGACCACGATTAAGAGGATTGAACAACTTTGCTCTAGATTTTTCTGGAAAGGTACCGATAAGACCGCCACTGGAGCCAAAGTTAGCTGGCAGAAAATCTACCAACCGAAATCTGAAGGAGGGCTAGGACTAAAAGATGTTAGAATATGGAACAAAGCATGTATGATACAACTTATACGAAACATCCTTGTAGGGTATGGATCATTGTGGGTAGCTTGGATAAAAACTATGTTATTAAGGATAAAGACTTTCTGTTGATGGAAGATGTGACAAATTCTAGCTGGTGTATCAGACGCATTTTGAAACAAAGGGCAGTTGCCATCTCAATTTTATCTACAGGAGCAACTAAAACAAAAGATATTTGGAAAGCACTCCGGGTGAAAGGAGAAAAAGTCTCATTGTACAAATTGATATGGTTTCCTCTTCACATTCCAAAACACAACATGATTACATGGATGACACTTCTGAATAGGCTCCCAACTAAGGAGAGGCTTCTTAGAATGGGAATAGTTACTGATGGCACATGTATAATCTACAATGAAGTTACAGAGACTAGAGACCACATGTTCAGTGAATACTCTTTGGCAGTTTCCCTATAGAAGGTCATCATGAATCTCTCCGGCCTGAACACTCCAACTTTACCATGGGTGAACATGTTAGTCTGGGCCAATGATTCTTGGAAAGAAAAGTCACTCCTCACTACTATCTTGAAACTTGCTTGGTGTGCTTTAATCTATACCATATGGAAGAAAGAAATAGAAGATTGTACCAAGGAAGCAAAAGAAGTGTTGAAGAAATTCTGAATTCAATTAAAGAGATTATAGGTATTCAATTCAGAAAAAGGAATATAAATAGATTAGATAGTATCAATATTTATCTTTGTAATCGTTGGGGTGTTGACCACCCATCTCTGTTGTAAGTAGGCTTTCCTTATCCCATTAATGGGATTTTGTTGTAGCAAAACACTGTATTATTGGGTAATAAAATTAAAATTATAAAAAAAACTAAGTTTTTTCAAAATAAATCAGATTGTCCTATTGTTACTGACGATTCAACCTTAATTGATGATAGTCGCTGCTACTGCTGCACTCCTAACTTGACTAATCTCTGTCTTTACCTACGCGTGAAATCAACACACGTTAAATATGTACTTAGTGAGACATAATATTGTAAAGAAACATTAATATATATTTAAGTATAGCATGATTATTTGATTTCGAACTAATTCATATCATCCCTAAGGATTTAATAAGTCCCAATTATTGAAACCAAACTTCTTTCATACTATCATCATAAACATTCTTAGTATGTCCAACATACCTTTCTTTCTTTACATTTTCCCATTTTTCTTGAGTAATTATTCATTATTTTCATTTATGACTTCCTTTCATGCCTTTAATGCACCGTTATGCATTTCATTTATGGCATCCTTTTATGCCTTAATGCACCGTTATGCATTTCATTTATGGCATCCTTTTATACCTTAATGCACCGTTATGCATTTCATTTATGAATTCGTTTTATAATAGTTCATACTCTAAAACTCATTCATTATATCCTTTCCATACATATAATGATAACATATTAATACTATAAAACATACATTAAATTAAAACATTCTAATTTGAATCATTGTGAATCTTCTTCATCTCGAATAATTACAATAAATGTACTCACCTGGTAATCCCCGCTAATAATATGTAGAGATGTCTGACTAATCAGCAACTTTGTCTTTCCCCTTTGTCTTGCTAGATTCAGGAGCTTGGTTATGATCTACACAAGCATCCATTAAAGACATATACACACCAAATGTTAGTATATTCCCTAACATTTATACTTTAATAATATTCAAAAGTACCATTATTTCAATAACTATAACAATTTCAATCGATCTAACAGTTCCAGGCTTAATAGTATCGATACCCCTACCATGGTATCGATACTTCTATACTATGGTACTGATACCTTTCTCTCAGTATCGATACTACTACACTATGTTACCGATACTCCCATTCGGTATCGATACCATTTTGGCATTCTGTTATCCATGGTATTGATACTTCCCCTTGTTAGTATCGATACCCCATCAGTATCGATACTACTTTCATAGGTACCGATACTGTTTGTCACATTTCTATCCATTTATACCTATAGTATCAGTTAGGGGTGTGCAAATCTGGGTACCCGGAATATCTGGGTCAGTGATTTCTCAGCCCGTGTCCCGACCCGGATGTTTCGAGTACCCGACATACCCAAAAATTTTCATTTTTTTGATATATAAATAATTTATACTTGTACATTTACAGAAAATACATGAGATTCACAACATTTAGATAGCATCTATCATAAAATAATAGAGCAAGTAGGAACAAAGAGGTTTTAATATGTATATATCTTCAAAGCTGCAAACCAGATGCCTACTTTTGACTATTAGAAACGAAGTGTATTAAGCATATTAAACAAAACAGGGAAAAATGTTTTACCAAATGTCAAGAGTTTCCAAACAAACATAGTAAGACGGGACTGCAGGTAAGCTACTTTCAGAGAAACTTGGAAATGAATATGAGGGAGCTTCGTGGGATTGGTAACCAACCAGAAAATGTGGTGGTTGATCTTGCTGATAGGTTTGATAGTTGTATGGTTGAGGGTATATGGGATTTTCAGATTAGTTTCCAGGAAATGATGGATGGAAGTCTCGTTGGGGTTCTTGCAGGAAAGATTAATCGTTAAAAGGGTAATCGGTATAAGGAAATGAAGGAGGTACTGATGAAATATTTGAATGCTGGTTGTCGATCTTATCATGGAACTGTGGTGATGGTGGAATATTTACCAGAATGCTGGTTATTTGCTTCATGGAAATGAGGTGATGGTCGAATATCACCAGAATGCAGGTTATTTGCTTCATGGAACCGAGTTAATGGATCGGAACTTTGATGAGGAATGGTAGCAGCAGGATCATGTGGCCTATATTAAAAAAAACTTAACCGGGTACTCGGGTAACCTGGAACCCGAAAAAATCAAATTTTGTGACCCGGGCCTGACCCAGCCGGGTAATTTTTTAAAGAAAATTACCTGCTTTTTTTTATCCGGATCGGCGGGTCGGGTAATTTTGCACACCCCTAGTATCGGTATTGTTCTATCAGTACTGATACCATTACCCAGACTTACCATTTTTCAGCTCGATTTTCACTTAATTTTTCCCTCTAATCTTTTACTTTTACCTCCAACAATACTATAAACTCTTCTTTACTTAATCCAACTAACTTTACTTCATTTAGCCTCTTACAACATCTAAAATCTCCATAGAACATCTCAACCCAAGAATCATATCACTTTTTCTAACATGTTTTTAATCATATCCAATGTTTCTAATCTCTTATTTACTCCTTTGACAAGTCAATTCTACTAATAAACCTTAATAAAAAACTCATATATTAACATATCATTCAAAAACTCATTTCCTTAAATCTCATATAAAATATCCACCTCTTTGTTTTAATCTTCTTTACCCCTTCCTAAAGCTTACACATCACTTAAAGTTACAAGAGCAAACCAGAATCGGAAGGAAGAACTAGCTAATTGAAGTTTACCTTATGTTATGGAGAAGAACACTACCCACATGAAGAAGAAGAAGAAGAGTAACATAAATTAACTTTCCTCTTTTCCCTTATTTAAAATCCCTAATAAAGAATGTATTTTAAATTCATTTCCCCTTAAAAGACCAAAATGCCCTCTTAATTCATCTATTATTACAATTTAGTCTAAAACACTATTCCAAATCAATTTCTTATCTTTTACCATTTATTCAAATAAATCTTCAAATTTTAAATCTTTTTAATAAAGTCTCTGACCAGATATTTGGGGTATTACAAACAGACACCAGCAACTGACAAGCATCACTGTATCAATTCAGCAAGCATCATTACATCAATTTAGCAAGCATTATTGCATCAATTCAGCAAGCATCCTTTATTCAGAATGCATACAATCAGTGGTAAAGCCAAAGGGAATTAGATGACCAACAGTTCCAAACATTTTCGACTTTACCAAACCCTTAGAAATATCAAGCAGAATAAACCAATATCAAACATAAGTAAACAATATAAAACATAATCAAGCAATATCAAGAAGAATCAAGCACCAACTATTGTATGTTGCAAGGCACCCTACAAAAAAATAGAATTATTAATGAACTATTTGAAACTTTTATTAAATAAACATAATAAATATAAAATATTAAGTTACCTTTGAAGGGACATTATATCCAATTCCAATGGTTCCACTAACCGTTAGATACCCTAAAAAATAAAAGGAAAATTAAAATAATTAATAAACAATTTGAAATATTAATGACATTAAAAAAATTTGGCATACCTTTACATAGAAGACTCATTAACCACAATAAGATATTCTTCATCATTATCCTCCGACTCAAAACCATACAACTAATTACGAATTGTTACAAAAATCTCAACATTTTTAGGTAAGCGTTTAGCTCTTAATTTGTTCAAAATTTAACCCCCATACTAAAGAACGATTTAGATGCAACTAAAGTAATTGGAATGACCAATACTCCAAAATATCAAAGTTAAATTCTCCAGTATGAGGGACAAGGGGAAAACTAATGTAAGAATCAACATCAGATCGTCCACTCCTTGAAGCATCTAAATTGGCATAAAATTCTAAAAAATAAAAGACAAAAATTAGTAAATGAAAAAAGGAAATAAATGAGATAATATTCAACTCGAAATTATAATAACTAACCTGAAATAGATATAAAATTAGCTGACCTTATTCCCATATGTAATGGGGTAAGGGGGAGGTAAGGTAGTAGGTTGCCCCCAACGGGTTGAGAACAACTTCCGTGGAAGACCTCCGACAGTCAGAATTATGAATTGCCCACCGTGGGACTCAATCCTACGACCACAAGGTTAATAGCCTTACGTTCTACCAACTGAGCTGGACGGGCAATTCTAACCTGAAATAGATATGATTTTCTAAATGTTCGAGGCTGATTGGAACTTGAGTCAATTCTGCCTAAGGATGTGTTACATTGGAATAAGAAGAAGAGAAAGAACCACAAGGTGCATTTTTTTTGAATAAAATACATATAACTCAAGAAACACATTATAAATGAGACTTACCCTCCGTTGAACCTCATCCTCAATAAAAAGAATGTAACACCCCCAACCCGTACCCGACCCGGATACAAGTCCGAGATGTCACATTAACTTATTAAAACCATATTCTTAACAAAATAATAAAATATTTGGACTTATATAAGTAAAATATTATAGTACACATTGGTTCATATAAGTTTGTCAAAATACTCAGAGCATACACAACTTGACCATTTGATTACATGCCAACATTCATTTACATAACAAAATGACCTACTGATTAAGTTGCTTCTGATCTGATAGTTGCAGGAGTAATCTTGTCCAGCTGCTTAATCTATCTCTTCTACTTCTTGGATCCTACGTGTGAAACACTCACACGCTAAGTCGTTGACTTAGTGAGGCAATATAATAATAGTAAGTAAATGTAATGAAAATGCCATAATGAGATAAAGTGAAATGAGAATATGTATTTAATCAAT